TGCAGACATCTGCTAGCAGAACATCCTCTGATTCATCACATTGAAGACGACTGGTTGGAGAAACTTGATATCATAAGAGGGGATGATGACGTTGGTTATAGTCTCGTGAAGCCGTGTTTTCCCAACTATCTTCCTGATTCTGTCGCGCAGGACAGAACCTTCGTATTTGGGGCGTAATGTTTCTTTCTCGACCCATGACAGGACTTCCGCCACCTTTTCTACCTTCTGTCCGACCCATCCAGCCCATGTTTCAAGCCACTCAGGTATGCTGGAAGGACCAATGCAACAGTTCAATTCATAAGATATATACAGTGAGATTGTTATCAGCACTTCAAAATAGTCTCGCCTTATGGAACATACATTCGAGCGGTTTTGGTCGGTTCTTGAGGGAATATGTATGGATTCTCTTCAAAATAAAACTTCTTGAGTTCATGTGCTTCAAACAGAGGTTGCTTTTTATCATTTGGTGTGGTAATCATAGCGGTAACAAGGCCTCCTGTGCTGGTTCCAGCAATGTAGTCAAAGTAGTGTGCAATCCTTGCATCTTTTCCATCCAGTTTCTATTCGTTTAGGAGGAAACATTTTGTAAACCAATCAATTGGGTAAGAATGATGAACAAATTCAAGGTTCCGAAGAAACGAAAAAAAGTATGGCGCACGCAGACACGCTAACCTGGAGTTCGGACTCGAGAAAGGCGAGCATGGTTGCCGGAATGATGCCTCTCACTCCTCCTCCATCAATGCTAAGGATAGTGGTAAACTTTGGACCATCTGATCATGATCACCATGGAAGCAATGTAATCAGATTCACTTCTGAAATATAATTAGCAACAATTAGCCCCCTTTGCACGCCCTTGTTATTTTCTGTTCCTATATAAACAAGGTGTGCAAAGAGAGAACAGACACGTGCGGAAATTGCTTCTCTGAACTATAATAATGTAGCTAACAAATCTCACCAGCAGCTCCCGTTGTACTTTCAAGTAATGGGAGTGTGTGATATCTTTGGGTATTCAACTTCAACCTCCCCCCTTTTTATATGCAATGTTGTGAAAACATGACAACCTTCAAATCTGGAAGCAATTGACAAAACCCATCACCTAAATGTAGCTAAAATACACATTTGCTTTGTAAAGTCTATCGGCAGATCTTGGAACTTCTTCTTTTTCCTTTCTAAAAGTTTTGAGTATGTACACAATGTGCATAAACCATGTGAACTACCTATACCCCTTCACGTTTCTCACCACCCTCGGGCTCGGCAGACCGTCTCTGGTTCTTGTTACGGTCTTCGACGGCCTTTGAACGAAGTAGGGTTCTACTACAAAACCAATTAGCGATATTGAAAAGTAACTCAACTCTTTATAAGCCCTTGCATGGTTTGGTTCTTCACAGATGTGGAATTTTGTTCTCCTATTCTCACACGCCCCCTTATGTGCACAAATTGGGTAATGTGGAACACATGGTTGTTGAGCTTCACATATGGGATAAACCTACTATGGTACCGTAAAGGAAGTTTGGGGAGTAGCCTAATTCATTATAAGCCCATGCATTCACCGATGCGGGACTTCCTCATATTCTCATTGTGAGGATGTGAAGGAAAAAGAGTCTCACATCGTCAAAAGATAAACCTTGCAAGAGTTTATAAGTGGTTGAACTACTCCACATATTGCCAATTGGTTGAGCTTATAACAAATTGGGCTACTCCTCATTTGCCAATTGCTTTTATGGTGAAACCTCAACTTCTTTTACTATCAGAGAGCTAGGTTGGCCCATGTATGAAGCCTAACGGCCACACGTGCTCCACATCACCAGATTCGTGTTGTCCACATGTTTGGCTTGAAAATTCATCACACATGAGAGGGAATGTGAAGGTAAAAGAGTCTTACATCAGTTAAAGGAGAAAACTTGCAATGGTTATAAGAGGTTGAGCTACTTCACATATTGCAAACTGGTTTTATGGTTTGGTTTCATTCTTACAAAATGCCTCCTCAAGGCCTGTTTAGCACAATTTGGAATGGACTTTGACATAGTTCCGTTAGTGAATCCGACCTCATTACAATGAAAAAACCCAAAATTTCACTATTTCTTCGTGATCACATTATAGTGTTAGATCATCTCCAATCATACTTTCTGTTTTTAAGTCGTTAAAGATGTTCCGAGTCACCACACACAATAAGAAAATAAATAACCGCAACTATACACATTCGAAGCATTTAAGAAAATATACATCCATTCAAAGTATTATTTGCATTACATCACTTTTCTTCAAACAAAACACAATTTTTGCTTGAAACTACGTGCATGCTGCAACCTCTCACTAATGAAATAATCGCATGTTGCTTCGTTGTAAACCTATGTAGTCGCAATTAAGTTTCGCAAAGCTAATTTTATTCTTTATTAAAACTCTCCAGCAACCACTCAGCACTACGGTCTGGTGGTATTCCTCTTCACTTAGAAGTGAGAGGTCTTACCAAATTAGGTTGCCCACTGTGTAAGTTAGCCGAACTCCCCCTCCTCGTATTGTAAAAATATCGATGTACTAAAAAAAAAAAAAAAATCCTCCAACGAGGTTAATTAGCAAAAATTAAAGAAAAAAACCCTCCGGCAAGGTTTGTCACAAAAAAAGCATATAACCCTCCAGCAAGTTTTATAAGAAAAAGAAAAACCCCTCTAGCAAATTGTAATCCTATATAATCGACGGGAAGCCTCACTCATAATTCATTGAGCTGAGTTTATTCAAAGCATTCATCCTAAGCATTTCCTTTTTCTTTCAAATGGCGTCTAACTCTTCCAGCCCTTCCAACGTTTCCAACTTTCTTACTATTAACCTTGACCCTACCAATTACCCTCTCTGGCAAGCCCAGATGCTTACCTTGCTTCGTAGCAGGAATCTCGTCTCCTTTGTTGATGGCACTAGCAAATGTCCTCCTGCCTTTCTCAAAGATGATGAGGGCATTTTTACTGATACTGTGAATCCGGAGTTTGAAGCATGGATTCAACAAGATGCAATGGTTATGTCCTGGATCAAGAGTTCTGTTCATCCCACTGTGTTGGCTTCCCTAATCGGGAAAACCAGTTCTCATTCTGCATGGACCTGTCTGCGCGAAACCTATGATTTGCAGCCCACTGGCCGTCTTCTTCAACTTCGCGGTGAGCTGATGAACACCCACCGTGGCCACTCCTCCATTGCTGAGTTTCTCAATCGTGTCAGTTGCCTTGCTGACGCCCTTTCCCTATCTGGTGCTCCTGTTTCTGACTCAGACATTGCTGCCATTGTTCTTAAAAATGTTGGCCCTGCATGTGAAAGCACTGTGGCTTCTGCTCAGGATCGTGATGGAACCATATCTCACAGTGCGTCAGAGGCCCTTCTGCTCACTGCTGAGCGGAAACAAAGGATGCAAGCTGTCGTCTCTGTTGATGCTAGACCCACTGCTCCCACTGCTACTCGTGGCGGTCGCCCTGGTACCTTACGTGGTCGTGGCAAAGGCTATAGAGGTAATCGTGGTCGCCGGAATGGTGCCTCTCACTCCTCCTCCATCAATGCTAAGGATAGTGGTAAACTTTCGACCATCTGATCATGATCACCATGGAAGCAATGTAATCAGATTCACTTCTGAAATATTATTAGTAACAATTACAAAAGCAAAAGTGATTTATGCACCCTTTTTCTCCTTTTGCACGCCCCTGTTTCTTTCCCCTACTAGATAAACAAGGCGTGCGGAGAGAGAACAGAGATGTGTGGAAATCGTTTCTCTGAACTATAATAATGTAGCTCACAAAACTCACCAGCAGTTGCCATTGTACTTTCAAGTAATGGAGTGTGTGATATCTTGGGTATTCAACTTCAACCTCCCCCCTTTTTATATTCAATGTTGTGAAAACATGACAACCTTCAAATCTGGAAGCAATTGACAAAACCCATCACCTAAATGTAGCTAAAATACACATTTGCTTGTATAAAGGCTATCGGCAGATCTTGGAGCTTCTTTTTTTTCCTTTCTAAAAGTTTTGAGTATGTACAAAATGTGCATAAACCATGTGAACTACCTATACGCCTTCACGTTTCTCACCACCCTCGGGCTCGGCAGACCGTGTCTGGTTCTTGTTACGGTCTTCGATGGCCTGTGAACGAAGTAGGGTTCTACTACAAAACCAATTAGCGATATTGGAAGTAACTCAACTCTTTATAAGCTCTTGCATGATTTGGTCCTTCATAGATGTGGAATTTTGTTCTTATATTCTCACACGCCCCCTCATGTGCACAAATTGGGTAATGTGGAACACATGGTCGTTGAGCTTCACATATGGGATAAACCTACTATGGTACCATGAAGGGAAGTTTGGAGAGTAGCCCAACTCCTTATAAGTCCATGCATTCACCGATGTGGGACTTCCTCGTATTCTCACTGTGAGGATGTGAAGGTAAAAAAGTCTTACATCGTCAAAAGATAAACCTTGCAAGAGTTTATAAGAGGTTGAGCTATTCCCCGTATTACCAATTGGTTGAGCTTATAACAGGTTGGGCTACTCCTCATATTGCCAATTGCTTTTATGGTGGAACCTCAACTTCTTCTGGTATCAGAGAGTTAGGTTGGCCCACGTATGAAGCCTAACGGCCGCACGTGCTCCACGTCACCCGATTCGTGTTGTCCACATGTTTGGCTTGAAAATTCACCACGCATAAGAGGGAATGTGAAGGTAAAAGAGTATCACATCAGTTAAGGGAGGAAACTTGCAATGGTTATAAGAGGTTGAACTACTTTGCATATTGCAAATTGGTTTTATGGTTTGGTTTCATTCTTACAAAATGCCTCCTCAAGTCCTGTTTAGCACAATTTGGAATGGACTTTGACATGGTTCCGTTAGTTAATCCGACCTCATTACAATGAAAGAACCCAAAATTTCACTATTTCTTCGTAATCACATTATAGTCTTAGATCATCTGCAATCATACTCTGTTTTTAAGTCGTTAAAGATGCTCCAAGTCACCACACACGGTACAAAGATAAATAACCGCCCCGATTATACACATTCGAAGCATTTAAGAAAATATACATCCATTCAAGGTATTATTTGCATTACATCACTTTTCTCAAAGAAAACACAATTTTTGCTTGAAACTTGAAACTAACTAGTCCTAAAAGCAACCCTAAGCTATGACGTTACTTGAAACTTCCCCAACTATTCAAACATCAACACTCATCTTTTATCTGACCGCAATCTTCGATCACAACAGGTTCAGAAGTAGTCCCACGCTCTGAACCCACCTTTTCCATCTTCTCAACAACACTGTATCCATCGACAACTTTTCCAAACACAACGTGCTTTCCGTCAAGCCAAGGTGTGCTCGCGGTGCAAATGAAGAACTGTGAACCGTTCGTATTAGGTCCAGAATTCGCCATGGACAAAATTCCAGCGCCAGTATGCTTCAAGTTGAAGTTCTCATCTGCGAATTTCGCCCCATAAATCGACTCTCCCCCAGTTCCGTTGCCTCTTGTGAAATCTCCGCCCTGGCACATGAAGTTCGGGATAATGCGATGAAATGTGGATCCCTTAAAGTGCAGTGGCTTCCCTGATAATCCAATCCCCTTATCTCCGGTGCAAAGAGCACGGAAATTTTCAGCAGTTTTCGGGGTTTTATCAGCAAATAACTCCATTACAACTCGACCCGCCTTCATCCTTCCGATCAATATGTCAAAGAAAACTTTCGGGTTCGACATTTTCTGTACAACTTCCAATCTGTCAAAACCAATCACAACCACATCAGACCAAACATATAGATCAAATCAATTAACACATCAATTAATTCACAAAGACGATACTTTGGACATATTTTTCGTGATCTAACAACAAAATCGGGCAACAACTTTCAAAATTCTCACACTTTGAATAACAAAAACCCAATAAACAAATCAAGAAACAAATAAGATTAACAAACCCCATCAAAGAACACAAATAAATTTGATATCAACAGCAGGATTTAGCAATGTCATCATTCTTCGAAATCCTCGGGCAATGTCGAGAGGATATAGTAAAAAAAAGAAAGATTTATGATTTTGCACAATTTTTGAGCGCATGGGCTGGTCATATTTATCGCCCATAAGCCTTCGATATGTGCTTTTTCTCGATTCATTTATTTCACGATTGAAATATTAATTCTTTGGAAATGGGATCTAATGGCATCACAGATTGAACAGAAAAGATAGAAACTTTGAATTACAGAAAAGATGGGAGAGAGAGAGAGAGAGAGAGAGAGAGAGATTACGTTACCTGAAGATGAGATTTGGATTGGAGACGAACAGTGAAGAAGATGAGATGAGAGGTCAGGGTTTAAGGTGTGTTTATATAGAGGCGCAAGGGGATGGGGTGTAGGGTTTTGGATGAAATTGGTAATTTACTTTGCAATGAGAAATTTTTCAGTGTGACCGGTACACTGGGTGGTACATTACATGTTACTATACAAATGATGAGATATGTGTGTTAAAAAGTTAATAATTAAAAAATTAAAATTTTCTAACACTTATATAAAAATACGTGATGTACCATTCGTATTTCGATCACAATGAAAATTTTCTCTTTTACAAGGTCGTCCTTGTTTTATGAGCATTTTTCTTCTTCTCACATTTACAATTTGCGATGACTCGTCTTGTTATATTGATTGATGTTAGGTGTCTCACTTTGCCACTAATCTGTTAAGTTTGTAAATAGCAGATCTATTATTTATCCAAATCATTTGTTTGGCAATGTATTAATGAAGTTTACGATGATGGGGCAAAATGCGAATCGATCAAGGCAAAAAAATGGATCATCGTGACTTCAGGATAAAATGAGATTTGACTATAGTTTCATACAACACAAAAGCTTTAGTCCAAGAAATTTGAGTGTGAGTGACATACGGCCACAGAGTGACATTATTCAACTTATAGTTATGAATTGAGTCTCGTGGGAGAGTTTAGAGAGAGAGAGGTTTCGCTTTCTCTCTAGACTTTCTCTTCCCTTCTGTTTGGTTTGCTTCGGTTGTGGTTTCCTTAGCCGCCCTTTGGGGTAAGAGAAGGTGACCCTTCTCTCGTCTAAATTCTAAAAGACTCTAAGTGCTAGTCTGACGACGAATTGGAGCTTAGTGCTTAGGTGAATTAGGCGGATTTAAATAAATCTATTGTATTTCGTGTAAATAAATATCTATTTATACTTAAAATATATATAATTCATCATAAACTAGAAAATAAAATGACATATATATATTATGAAGTATTCGAACATAATGAAAACATGAGAAATAAACATATAATGTGTGTTTATTTAAGTGTTCAATAATTCTCGTACAATTTATTGGAAACAATAAAATGCTAAAGGAAAGTTATCTTAGAATCATACAATTTATTGGAAACAATAAAATGTAAAAGGAAAGTTATCTATTTTCTATCTAAGTGAGTTGCAACTCTAGACAGGTGTTTAGGCGGGTCTGGACAGGCTAGGCGGGTATCTAAGTGGGTGTCTCAGTAGGTCTAGGCGCATTTTTTTAATTGTCAAATACCTAAATGTTAATCGATACGGTGACCAGCCGCCTAATGCCTAAGCAAGGATTTTTAGAACAACGTCTCGTCCTTTGTGACAACTTCTTCAGCCTCAGTGGTGGCCTGTCCATCCATGGACCAAACAATGGTGAAGATATGTATGGTAATAGATGTTTGAAGATATTCAGCCCAGCCCAAGCTGAAGCCCAATTGTGAGGTAGAAGATGGAAGAGAAGATGTTGAAGATATTTCTCATGGGGATGGATACATTGAGAAAAAGATGCAATTCCAAAGCCTACACATCCATGGATCATACAATGGTCACCATCAAACCTCATCTCCTTTCACCTTCCCTCCTTCCTCCCTCCAATTTCAAATTCCTCCAAACCTCTCCAAACAATCACACCCCACACACAGACACCCACCCATCTACCCACCAACCAACCACTTCTTCCACCCCCCATGGACACCCCAACCTTGACCACACCCAGCAAATCCATGCCCACATGATCAAAACCCAATTTGATCACACCCGGCAAACCCCTCTCACCCACCTCCAAACCCAGCTAAGCCCTGCAGCTCAGCACAACTTCTTGATAACTTCATACATTAAGAACAACTGCCCGGAAATTGCACTCGAAATATATGCCCAAATGCGAAGAATGGATACCCAAGTCGACAGTTTCACCATTCCATCAGTCCTCAAAGCTTGCGGGCAATCTTCTTTCGCAGTTTTGGGAAAGGAGACGCACGGCTTCGCGCTGAAGAGCGGGTTGGATGGTGATGTTTTCGTGCGCAATGCGTTGATCCAAATGTATAGCGAAAGTGGGAACGTGGTGCGAGCTCGCTTGCTGTTTGATAAAATGACTGACAGAGATGTTGTTTCTTGGAGTACAATGATTAGGAGCTGTGTTAGGAACAGATTGTTTGGTGAGGCATTGGAACTTATAAGGGAAATGCATCGTGTTCGAGTGAGGCCTAGTGAGATTGCCATGATTAGCATGGTTAATCTCTTTGCGGGGGTTGCTGATATCGAAATGGGGAAAGCGATGCATGTTCATGTTGTGAGGAATGGCAAGCACGAGAAATTGGGAGTTCCTGTTACTACTGCTTTGATCGACATGTATATCAAGTGTGGAAATTTAACTTATGCAAGGAGGCTCTTTGACGGGTTAGGACAGAAAAATATTGTTTCGTGGACTGCAATGATCGCGGGGTACATTCATTGCAGAGATTTACACGAGGGAGCAAAACTTTTCAACAGAATGCTGGCGGAAGGAAGTTTTCCGAATGAGATTACGATGCTGAGTTTGATTATCGAGTCTGGGTCTGTTGGCGCTATGGAATTAGGCAAGTGGCTGCACGCCTACATTCTGAGACATGGGTTTGTCATGTCTTTGCCTTTGGCCACTGCTTTGGTCGACATGTATGGAAAATGCGGAGAAACCAGATATGCAAGGGCTGTTTTCGATAGTGTGGATAACAAAGATGTTATGATTTGGAGTGCCTTGATCGCAGCTTACGTGCATGCCAATTGCACTAATGAGGCTTCACAGCTCTTTGCTCGGATGAAGAATAGCGGAGCAAGGCCAAATCAAGTCACAATGGTTAGCCTGATTTCGTTATGCGCAGAAGTTGGAGCCCTTGACCTGGGCAAGTGGGTTCATTCGTATATAAACCAGCAACGGGTGGAAGTTGATGTCATTTTACGAACAGCTCTAGTTGACATGTATGCGAAATGTGGAGAAATCGATATGGCTCTCAGGTTGTTTGATGAAGCCACAAATCGAGACATTTGTATGTGGAATGCCATGATGACAGGATTTTCTATGCATGGCTGTGGAAAACAAGCTCTGGAACTCTTTGAACAAATGAACAGAGAAGCTGTGGAGCCTAACGACATCACATTTATCGGAGTTCTCCATGCTTGCAGTCACGCTGGATTGGTGGTAGAAGGAGAGAAATTTTTTGAGAAAATGGTTCGTGTCTATGGATTGGCTCCGAAGGTTGAGCACTATGGATGCATGGTGGATTTGTTAGGTCGAGCTGGGAAACTCCACGAGGCTCATGAACTGATCAAAAGCATGCCCATACAGCCTAACACAATTGTATGGGGTGCCCTGCTCGCTGCGTGCAAAGTTCATAAAAATCCCGACTTGGCTGAAGTTGCTTCAAGGCAGCTTCTCCAGTTGGAACCTCAAAATTGTGGATACAACATTCTGATGTCGAACATCTATGCAGCATCAAACAGATGGAATGATGTTGCCGGGGTGAGAAAAGCCATGAAAGACAGAGGAACCAAGAAAGAACCCGGTCTCAGCTCGATCGAAGTAAATGGCTCGGTCCATGACTTCGTAATGGGGGATAAAGCGCACCCTCAAGCCGGAAAAATTTACGAAATGCTGGCTGAGATGATCAAGAAGCTGAACGAGGCAGGTTACACTCCTAACACGTCGGTCGTGTTGCAGAACATAGATGAGGAAGAGAAAGAAACTGCGGTTAACTATCACAGCGAGAAACTGGCCATGGCATTCGGTTTGATCGCTACTGCTGCAGGTACCCCGATTCGGGTTGTGAAGAACCTCCGAGTCTGTGACGATTGCCACACAGCAACAAAGCTTTTATCAAAAATTTACGGGAGGGTAATTATGGTAAGGGACCGGAATCGCTTTCACCACTTCAGAGAAGGATCTTGTTCTTGTGGTGATTATTGGTAGCAAACGACGATTATTTGTAAATGTAACTGGTAGCAAACGACGATTATTTGTAACATGTAACGTAAATTCGAAATGTGATTAATTCATTCAGATCAACAATTACAAATTTTCACATCGAAAACATATTGTCATCCAAGCCACGTTTCAGTTTTACGACCTCCGCTACCACTAACAGAGTGCCGAATGCTGATCTTCTCAGTAGAATATTTTTGCTGCAGCCACTCGAAAGCATTGACATCAAGTTTCCCAGTAACAGATTTCCCTTGTTTTCGACGATTATGCTGTTCCCGTATGGAAACCCAAAGTTTCTCAATGGCAGTCCTTTGTTTCAATGTGAACCTAGCTATGTTATCAAAGGCGTGCTTTGCTAATATGTCTATGACTGTTTGGCACCTGCAAAGTAAAAGTACAATATATAATAAGAAATTCTTGCCCTCCAGATGGTACTAGGTTGGATACTGAGAAGAGCGCATCGAAGAATTTAAAGTTTTCGAGAACTTACCATGGGGTTTTATAACGCCTAGCAGCTATCTCTAAACAAAGAACCAAGGCTTCCCTTTTTGACCTGAGGAATCGCTTGGTCTCTTCCTCCTCCTTCCTGATCTTGTTATCTTTTTTTTCCTTTGTTCTATCATCTTTCTTTGTAGAGGCAGGAGTTAAAAATGCATCAAGCCCAAAAGGATCAGACAACTCATCATTATTTTCCGCTGGTGCAGCTGAAGTCACGTCCCGCTTCGTCTGGTCATCTTCATCTGCTATCTTTGTTCCATCTTCCAGCACAGCTGCTTCCTCTCTGTCATCATCCTCGGTTGCAACAGGCAGATTAGAAATGGCTTCCTTTAATCGTCCAGCTGCTTTTGAAAACTGTGTAAACATTCACATAACAAATGCATGACGAGAAAAAGAGGAAGAACATGAAAGACAGAAAAAAGGTAAGTCAGGGTTGGTGAAGAAATCACAATCACAAAAACAAACGGTAGTTCCACGCTGAAATTTATTAGTAGATAATATTAAATGAAAATATTAGTTTAGAATGCATATGTAACCAAATTGGTTGCATGTTTCGTGCTTCTCATCAAATCATATACTAAAGAAGCTATTCATTACATGATTCAGAAACTATAATCACAAACTGCTATAGGAAAAGTTCTCACCAGGAAGCTGTCATCGGTGAATAATTCATTTGCCATCACTGCCCTAATTGTCCATGTCGTTAATTGATTCTTTTGCTTCTTATCGAGACACTAAAACGAAAATTTAATCCTTGTAAGTTGAGTATTCAAATAAAAATTTCATGAACCAATACTAACATTATCGTGCATTATATGCAGACTTTCAGTCTTACCTCAGAGGCATCTTGTGCTGCTGAAAACAATGCATGGTAATCAGCTCGCATGGAAGGATCCGTACAAGAAGTAGGCGATTCCATTGCGGCTTCTAGTATAGCAAAAAAGTAATCACTAGTCTCAGCTTTCACACTTCCCGCCTGAATAAGCTGGATGGCAAGCTTTGAAGCCTTACTAAATTTCGCAGGAGTCTTTATATGTGAGGCTATCTTCTGCATCGCCTCTATCACCTGTTGCTCTGAGGCATCCGTCGTGGTTTTGAACCTCAACTTTTTCTTTTCCGGCACAGTTTCTAAAATCCAGTTCCAACATATTAGCTCATTTGATCAAATCAAAACATTGGTATTTCACACAAGTTACATACATGAAGAAATAAACAAGAATCAAACTTTATTAAATCGTCAACACTAATTTCTGGCAAGAATTCCAACACAAAGAAACCGTCAACACTCCGATTTCCAGCTAGAATTCGAACAGTAAGTAACCGCATTTCCTTTACGAAAAGCTGCATTCCGAAAGTTTATATCAAAAGCCTAATTGTGTACAGAGAGCATAACTTCTGTACATTAATTCAGGGATACAATAACTAAAAACAAATGCAGCCCTGACAGTTAAATGAATTCAATTCTGTTTCTAGGGTTCTTCAACAGCGAAAATTAATGTAAAACTAAAACCCTGATAAGGCAATTTTTTTATAGCTGCTGGAAATAAAATCAAAGAATTAGTAATGGGTTTGAAAGCAATGTATCCAAAAACCGAAAAAAACTACCTTCTGGGGTCGACTCGGCGGGATTCGGCCGCTTGAGGGCGGATTTGAGAATTGGTTTAGGGGCAGCAGGTGGAGGAGGAGCAGGAGCAGGGGAAGAAGAGTCGCAGCTAAAAGAAGCTGTTTTTCGAGGTTTTGGTGGTTTTCGTGGTTCCGGTTGCGGTTGCCGGAGTTGAATTTCAGGAGAAGGAGGAGAAGGAGGGTCTGCCGACGGCGGAGGGAGGCCTTCAAACAGGTCGTCAGCCATGTCCTCTCCCTCTCGATCGAACTGGTTCGGAGTTTGTCCAAACAGGGAGGAGTTCCAACCCGATTGGATCTCTCTGTTTTTAATGGATATCAAACTCCGATCATGGGCTTTAATCGAAGCCCATTGTAATATGAATGCATCTTGGGCCCGTAAGATTATTCAAACCCACCCCAATTTAACTATCCATCTGAGTAACCCTCTATAGTCTTTTTCTTATTTTTATGTTATTTTATTTGGAGATATTACTATTTTAAGCTACATCAAGAAAAATGTGAATATATCCAAACCGTCGATTGTTCAACAAAAATGGATAATGAATGATTTTATACTTTGATTAATTTTTTAGTGTATATTTGTAAATTAATGATTAAGAAAATAAAATTTTTGATTATATATGACATTTGTATGGTGAAGTGAGATTTACGTATACCCATAATTGTTGTTATAGTTAAAACTGGGAAGAGTTTTGATTTTTAAAAAATAAAAGCTGATTTGATTGGTTATTTATCAATTTGTATTTTCTAAAATCATTAAGGAAACGCAATTTTTTTTTCAAATTCAAGAGCCATTCTTTAATTAATAGTTATACGATATTTGCACGGTGAAACATAGTATGAAGTGACTTGTCTCACTTTTAAAAACATATTTATATACTATATAATTAAGGGATGTGCTATCCACACATCCTATTTTGCTTCTCATACATACCTTAATAATTTTTGTTTGTTGATCTTTTTCAAATCATCAGATCCGACGACCGAAAATTAAAAAGGTATGTAAGAAGTAAAATGGGCTATAATTAATTAGAAATATATACAAATACATACAAAACTAAAGCATATTAAATTGCATGTACACAAAAGTTTGAAAACTTTTATAAAAATTTGTAAAATATCCGAATTATGTTTATAAAATTGAGAGACAAGATCCGATTCCCAAAATTTGTTCCAATTTAATCTTTTTAGATTGGAATTGAAAATCTGGTTTGCTATCCGATCCATCCAAAAATTACTCTAAATAAGATATAAGGGCTACTAATCGTTTAAGAGTATGGAAAAAAACATGAGAATACTACGTACCCTCGTTAGAGCAAATTGTGTGTTTCAAAATTTAAGAAAATAAAAGCAAGCATGCAAAGATGATGGAGTGGTCATAAATTAAGACATGTACATGGCCATGCTTCTTTACAAGAGACAATATCGAAGATTTACATTAACAAACTTAGAGTTAAATAGAGACAATATTGAAAAGATTGTGTGAGTAAATGTTGAATGTTTTGGTTTTCTTGAACACCCCCCTCCCCTCCCTTTTCCAGTGGTCTAGCCAGTTCAGTCCCAATTAGAGATACAAGAATCGTGGAAATGTTTATAAAATGACTAAATTCGCTTTTTGTAAAAATACTTTTATAATCAATTCTTAGTAAAAGTGTAAAACTATGTTTAGATGAGGGAATAAACTTGGAATTTTGACAAAAATTAGAATTTATAAATTGACATGTACCAATTCCCTTGTTTAGATTCATAAACATAGAAATTTAGAATTTCTGCGTGGAAAAAAAAAACCTTGAAATTTGGGACCCCCACTTCCCAAGTTTAAATTCAATACTGTAAATAGATGTCATTTCCCAACTTCTACGACTGAGAGTTTAAAAATATCAAATTCTATATTCAAATTCCATTGTTATTTTAGGTTAACCAAACAAGAAAATTAACAAATTCAAGAAAATTCACAATTCTAGAAAATAGATTTCCGTAGTTTCAATTTCCGTCAATTTAACATTCCTTAATAATCTTAAATTTCCTCATCCAAATAGAATGTAAGCGAAATTTGAAAAGTACATAACTAGTGCTGCTTATAAGAATCACATAACTAGTGGTACCTTCGAGTGCTTCTTGGAATTCACAAACATTTTATCTAAAAACGTTTTCAATTATTTTAAAACCACTTTCAAACAACTCAATAAAGTAGTATTGAAGACTTAAATATTATATAGTATTTCATCAAATGGTCGCTTTTATGTTAATTTACCAGCATATAAGCTTAACTTTTTGTTCAAATTATTATATGTTTTTCTTATAGAATAGAAGAAAATGCTAAAAACTAGGAAATGCTAATTAGAAAGCATAGGAAAGGAACAAGTTGAGCTAAAAGCACTAGTACTGCATTCCAAAATTGCGTACGTATGTGCGTAGTTCCTTTTCTTCATATGATATGATCATGCATGAGAGATCCATACTCAGTGCTCACTCATCTGTTTGGAGTAAAATATTAACAAAAACAAAATCCCAAATTACATCTTGGAGTTATGAATGAGTGTATACATGTGATAATATATGAGATCCAGAAGAGGGAATGTATACTTGAAAAAATATGTTCAAACAATTAAGAACATATTTGAAAGTGTTTTTAAAATAATTATAAATATTTTTAGATTATAAAAAACGTTTCAGACTATGTTAACTAGGTATAAAAAGTTAGAAGTGCTTTTCAGGAACCACTCACATTTACATTAAAATCTTCATTGTGCTTCTAATAGAAGTGCTTTTAAACCGAAGTGCTTTAAAAAAGCAATTCTAAATGAGTTACTTAATTTTGACATATAATTTATACACACTATTTTCTGTCCATCTGCACTCTTTGTTTATTGATGCTCTTGATTCGCTTTTACTTTATTCGATCTAAATATTGAAATTAAACATAAATATACATGAAGCGAAAAATAACATGTGAAAATCATAAGTTCTTGCTAAAATAACAATTGAAAAACTTAGGGTGGTTGGGTTATATGTAATTATGCATTATTGATGATACTACTTTCACATGAAAATCGATCTTCTTGTTAAGTTTCTTGAGTAGGGCACCATATGACGCTTTGCTACAAGAGGAGATCAGAGTTGAGGAGGACGTGCATCCCACATTCTCATCACGCGCACTCGACCCCACCCAAACAAAACCCTAATTCCCAAGACCGACACCACGCACCACCACCTCCCCCATTCATCATTTCATTTCGTTTCATCTCTATCTCCAATTCTCATCCCATCTAATTTTTCAGAGAGAGAAAGACAGAGAGAACCTTGTAGTGAGAGAAACTAAAAGAAAGAAGGAGAGAAGGAACCCAAAGCTAGCTAGCTTCCCCTAGACAGTCTTTGACCTTGACACCCACCCAAACCCTACCCAAGTTAATTCATCCCCAAAAAACCCCAACTTTTAAGTTAATTCTTCCTCATTTGATGTTTATATCTTCGTCGTACCTGATCAGACCTCTCTTACACTTCACTCTTGTTAATGACCCAGCTAGGGCTCTCTGAATTTTCTTCCCCATTTCTTTACCCTACCTCTTCAAGCTCTTCTTATATATCTAGATTTCCTGTTTATACAGATCACACTTTCTTTATATAATCAACCAGCTTAATTATATCACTTCTAATCTTCTACTTGTCTCTTTTCCTTTATTTTATAAATTTATATATATTACTATACTATCTTCGTTCTTCCCTCCTCCTTTTTCTACTTTTCATTTTGATTTTTTCAATCGATCATGGCGAACCGTTGGTGGGCTGGACAGGTAGGCCTACCGGGAGGAGGAGTAGTGAACGAAACCTCAGCCGTAGCAGGTGCCGGCAGCTCCCCCATGAAAAACCTCATGAAACCAGATCTGGGGATCTCCATGAACACCACAGGAACCAGCAGCCTCGGAGGATCCGGCGGTGACGAAGACGACAACAACAGCGATGATCCCAAGGAAGGAGCCATCGAAGTCGCCACAAGACGACCTAGAGGCCGCCCCCCCGGCTCCAAAAACAAGCCCAAACCCCCAATCTTTGTGACTAGAGATAGCCCTAACGCCCTCCGCAGCCACGTCATGGAGATATCCAGTGGGGCCGACATCGCCGACAGCGTCGCCCAGTTCGCCAGGAGAAGGCAGCGCGGCGTCTGCGTCATGAGTGGGAGCGGCACCGTCATCAACGTCACGCTCAGGCAGCCGTCCGCGCCCGGCGCGGTCATGGCGCTTCACGGGAGGTTCGAGATTTTGTCCTTGACTGGAGCGTTTTTGCCTGGCCCTGCACTGCCTGGTTCAACCGGGTTGACCATATATTTGGCAGGCGGGCAGGGCCAGGTTGTTGGAGGAAGCGTGGTTGGCCCCCTTGTGGCTTCAGGGCCCGTGATGGTGATCGCGGCAACGTTTTCTAATGCGACGTATGAGAGGTTGCCATTGGAGGAGGAAGAAGAGCAAACAGGAGGGGGTACTAGTTCGGGGACTGCAGCGGGAGGTGCGGGGTCGCCGCCGGGGATTGGAGGTGGTGGGATGGGAGACCCGGCGGGATTGGCAGGGGTTTATAATTTGCCATCGAATATGCTTCCGAATTTGAGCCTTGATCAGCAGGCAGCTTATTCATCTTGGGCTCATGGTCATGGAGGTGGTAGGCCTCCATTTTAAATCAATTTAATAATTTTAGGGTTTATGGATTATTGTGAATTAATTAGGAATAAAATTGAGAAGTGAGTGTTTAGTAGTAGTAGTACTACTCTTTGAAATTAACTCACTTTGAGAGGAAGAATGAAACTGGAAATTATTGAGGTACTTAAACTTCATTTATTTGTGTTGTGCTTTGTACTGCTTGAGCTGCTGCTCCTTCTTCTTCATCTGGTGTAGCTGTAGAATTTCCCTTTTAAATTAGATGAATGTTTTACAATGAGTATTTATATATATTAGTTAATGACAAAAACATGAAAGAAACCAATCATAAATAATATTGATGGAAGAGTTAAATTAAAATTAAATGTACGAGCATAAATAAATATAGGATATAATCCCTTTGCATCTTTCTGAGATATTTTGATTTATTTCTTCTAATTAAACTACTAATTAATCTTTTGAACCAAGTCTAATCAAGCTACTACTTGGATTTGGTCATTCATTTTATGTTTTATTATATTATATTGTCCAAGTGGTGTGATCGGTAGATTTAATTACCAAGTGGTGTGATCGGTAGATTTAATTAATTATGTGTATTGTGTAGTGATCTTTCTTTTTAATAATGTGTTAACCGAAAATGTTATGAAGGATTATTATGTTGGAAATTAGTTTAACATATAATGAGCATAAGAAATACGAAAAATTGGAAGCGACATCCACGTTTTTCTTTCGTCTTAGATGTTCATCTGTATATCTTATATATTATTAGGTGAAATTTTAAGTTTACTTTTCTATGAAACCAATACACATGTTGTTTCTTTAACTATTTTTATTAGCTAGTTTAATTTATGGGACCAATATTGCTGGTCGACTTTGGCTACTGTGCTTGTCTAAAATTTATTTATGTTAAGCGAAAGATCATAACTATTGAAAAAATTGACCATAAAATTGTACAAAACAATGTCATCTCCGTCGAGATATAGAAAGTACGTGAGGAGGAGTATGCAGGAATATTTTAAATCGAAAGTTTATCAAACATTGCGTTTGTTTATATCTCATTTGTCAATTGATGTCTAATGACACTGCAACTTTTTTAATGGTATCAAAGTAGATTAGTGCATATGTGAAGCCCAAAGGTGATATACGTACTTGACATCATCACAAGAAACCCTAATTATTTAGAGAATGGTTTTATTTTGATTCATGATGGGACTTGGTTAGATACATAACTAAGAATAATGCTACCATTACTGAAAATTTCTTTCCTGCAAGAATAAGTAATATGGAAACTCTAAAAATTAAGAATCTTAAAGATATATGATCAATAGTCTTTCACACGCACAACGTTCATCTCCCATCCATGCTATGACTATTTATGGTACTAGGGATATAAAGAGCTAAACATTAATATTATAACTTCTATGTTTACATACAATACTAATTGTATAAAATTGTCACCAAAAGGATGTTTCCTTGACACTTAAAAGGATATATCTTATTTGGGTAATGTTAATGAGATCATTTATTTAAATCATATTTTGTAAACTATATGATATGGTTGATGATAATTGAATTATTGCTCAAAAATTGATTAACATATGCTCATTTTTTTATTGATGACACATTACATAAATTTAAATTTTGGCTTGAAAAATAAGTTTACCTAGCATAGTATAGAAACATGAAGGACCCTCTTCACATGGATTCACGTGTCATTGTTTAATTAACCCTAATTTGTCTATTACCTAGTAATAATTTGCATACAACATTCACTCTAAATTTATAATGGTAAAGCAGCTTTGTGTTGAGGATCACGGAGCCCACCCTCAAAGAGTTTAATATTTAAAGCAGCCTGATTAATTAAAATAATCTCCAGACTAAGACTAAAGCACAAATGAAACCTCCTTTTAGTGCACCAGTAGTTGTCTTTGCTGGTGTAGTTTTACCAACATGTTGAAGCCCCAATTATTTTTTTAATGTCTAAACAAGCCAACTAAACTATAATACTTTGAAGGGGAATCCGTAAAACCTGCACTAAGGAAATGAGGACAACCGATAAAGTTGAAGTTTCTGCATACCATAAACAATAGTTAGTAGAAAACTACTGACCTAATTAATTCATTAATTTCGACAAAAAAAAAAATTATTCATTAATTAAGTATTGAGGTACATCACCAGTGGGAAAAAAAAAAAAAAAAAACTTCTGAGAGCATATTATCACTTTCCAACTCTACCTCTGATCGATGAATGTGTGAATGATGATGATGATGACGCAAACACAATTAAAAATTTAATTAAAATTTAAAGTTGTTTTCGAATGCATGCACCTACCGTGGATTACACGTCGTCCTTGGCTGGATTATTAGGTGCTCTTCTATACGTTGACCTAACTTTCGAGAGAGTTTTCAATGTGTTCAAAAAATGAGATGAAATAACATTCATTAAATATTTGAAGAGACACATGAAAAAAAAAAAAAAAAAACTTTTTTAAATTGTATAATGATATTTAGTATTCAGTCTTATTTTGAAAACATTGAAAAATCTCTCCTAAGTTTCAAATGAGAGAATGGAAAGATACTTTCTTGTTCTTAATTCACAATGTGATAAGTTTTTATTTAACATATAAATTACATTTTAAACATGTCACAAATATTTATCGGACAAATAAGGCTACTAGCTACTATTAAATCTTGATTGCATTTGTAAAAATTTCGATTTGACTGCGTCTTCTCTTGTTAATTAGGACTTCCAAAAACTCTCATCACTATTGGCTAATCACCATGCTTCATATCCATTGCAGCGAGAGGGAGAGCACTAGTTCAATTCACAATTAATTAATTAAACCTAATTATCGATAAAGATAAAAAAGATGTAGGCGCGGTTTTGTGATTGATGTGCTTCATGCATTCCCAGCCTTAAACTGAGATTATGGTTTTATATTTGAAGTTTAAACCTAATTAACTTAATAGTTATATGATGATCGAACTGATGGCAGTTCGAATGACAGCTTGACAAACCAGCCATTGGATCTCATTTTATACGGCGATCTATCAAACAATCTAAAGCTTTCACTACAGAAATAGAACATTTTCTTTAATCATGGGATTACCTTTTTTTTTTTAATATTCTATATATTATTCTATATGCTTTCTGAAGCCAATATAAAATTATATAGTAGTGGTGCAGTAGTGACTGTATGCTTTTGTGTCAATAAATTACTTAGGTCTTCAGTTTACGATTAAGATATTCATCATTCAGGGCAAGCTATATCTAGCTTTTCAAATTAACCAAAATTCAGAAAATGTACCGTGGTCTAGTCGTCACTAGTTTATAAATCTAGTGAAGCTGATCAGGAAGAAACCAACAGTAAAACTAAGAAACTAATTAAGAAAAACAAAACCAACATTAGAATTAGAGCTCTGCATCCATCCAAGTGTTGGACCGGTTGGTTGAATCAGGAGTTTTATTTATGATTGGTTGTGCGTTATTCTCTCCATATCTTATCAATTATTGTGTTGAGAATGGTTTACTCATATTTACCGTTTCTAAATTTTATAATCTTTTCTTTAATAGTACTATTGCTTCTTCTAGAATAAACCAAAGTACAAATTGAAATTCAACTTGTTTTGTTTTTGAGGTTTGAGAATTCACACAAAAGATAATCGTGTCGAAAGACAAAAGGATTGGTTTGCATATTTAATTGGTACTTAAATGCCAAGGGAACTGACCAAGGGTTTCCCCTTTGACATTTTGACTATGAAAATATGAAGTGGATCCCTTGGACTCATAGAGGGCTCAGAATTGTACGTTTATGATGTGATCCTTTTAGTCCTAGTCTCCTGTAGAACTGCTGGATTTTGCTTATACTGTCCATCAATTAACTTGTAAGGTCTACACAATTACTTGCAGCCAAAATTGCCTCTATCAGTTCTGAATTTGTTTGGTCAAATTTCCTTTAGGGTAAAAACTAAAGAAGATTTTTTTTTTTCTTTTTCCAGCCACGGGTAAGGAAGGTGTATATGTTGTGATTGATGGGTTTTTGGTGTCGTGAAGATGGTAAATGACTAATTAATTTGGTGAAATCACTTTGTACTCCATGAAAGTTCCTGACTAGGAACGGGTACAATTCGAAGTGAATGCAACAGTTTTCTAGGCGTGGCATTCGTGCATATTCACTGTCCCCCAAGTTTCCAAGAAAGAAAAATGAGCAAACATTGCATAGCAAAGAAGTTGGAGACATATTCGGTTTCAAATGAGCATAGGGGAAACAAGGTTGACAAAAAAGGTTAGTTTTACCCTCATCAGAGTGATGTACGGGCATGTCGAGCCTCTGGTACTAGAATGAATTACTATTACTAGGTTTATAGGGTTTCAAACATGGACTAAACTGCCTCAAATACTAGATTGAATTACTTTTGCTCAGTGCTCAGCGCTCAGGGTGATGCATGCACACTTCTAAGAGCCAGAATAAGGGCAAGAAGCGCTGTGTTTGTTTGTGTTAATCCGACATGAATGAGGAGGATGTAGTGCACACTGAACCGCACGCAAGAACAGGAGATGAGTGCAATGTCTATAAGTGAAACAAAAATTTCATCATAAGATTTCCATCCCAACCTAATGCCCAAAATATGGAAAAATTATCATCAATGAAGCCTAAATCCCTCATGTAAAATTGTTTTTTCAGTAATTAATGTAATCTAATCAAACTTTTATGTAAAATTCCTGCCTTTAATTTAAAATACATTCAGAATATACAAAACTAGAGACTGTGGCAAGGTACCAGTTTAACATCTCTAAATTAACCTTCCAATCAGGGCATTTTGTTTCTGGCACTCGATATTTATGAATGTAAAACTAAAAAAATACACATATATAGTGGGACAACCCCACTAACTCAGAGGGAATCCTGAGCTAAATTTGCCCCAAAAATGAGTTTTAGATTTTAATTCATATTTGCCCCAAGGATTGGATCAAGTTGGTCTTATTGCTTTGGAAATATCTTAAAAAACCTTTGTTCAAAAAAAAAAAAAATGGTAGTTTTAACAAAAAGCCCACGATACTGTTCACATTAACGAAAAACCATATTTTTACACTAAAAAGTCAATTATGGTACTATTCATTTTACCTTTTATTTTGTCCTTATCGTTAAAACTCAAAGTTTTCAAACCCTTTTCATTAGTTTTCCTAAAAAAAAAAAC